TGATTGCCACCCCATATGAGAGCTCTCAAATATCAAATGCCTATATCACAGTCTTTTTTTTCCCCTTCCCTTCACTGCGTCTGTTTCCCAAAGCCTTAATTATTGTTGTTGCCCTTCTGATTTTATGATGAATGGCAATTTTGACACCCCCAACCCTGAGAGGTAGAGAAATCTTGGCTTTACTTTTGCACTAAGAATTTAAATACAGTGGAATAGGTCTTTTTTTTTTGTAGATCAACAATTTAAAGATTTCTTTTCATAAAAACCAGTGTATCAATCTTCTATTGAAAACACATTTTTGTAAAGCATGAAAAAATTTAGTCCTAAGCTCTGTAGCTGTCAGAGAACTGAATAGCTCTTCTATTTTGAAACAGCTGCCAACAAATATGAGGACTGGGTATTGTTTCTCCCCTTGGTGAACTGTCAGGTTTCTCTTTATGCACTGGCATGTTACAGGTAACTGAAATAGCTTCTCATTGTCTGGCACAAGCAGTTGTTTCTCTACTTATAGGTTTATAGTCCTTTTGCCTAGGACTGAAGGATACTCTGAATAGCAAAGTATTTAATGCAGAGAACTGAATAAAGTGTGTTTTCTATTTATTTAGAATTGTTTTTATAAAGGTGAAACACATAACATAACATAACAAAACTAGCCGTTTTAAAGTAAACAATTCAGTGACATTTAGTACTTTCACAATATTGTGCAACCATCATCTATATCAAGTTTCAAAATATTTTTATTTTCCCATAAAGAAATCCCATAACTAACTACTCCCAGGTTCTGGCAACCATTACTCTGCTTTCTCTGTATATAAATGTGCCTATTCTGGATGTTTCATATAAATAGGCTTGTGCAATATGTGGCCTTTTATATCTGGCTTCTTTCACTTAACACAATGTAACAACTACATTGTACCATGTATCAGTACTTCATTCCTGTTTTATGACTGAATAAAGGTCTTATCTCCTCATCCATTGATGGGTTGTTCCCACTTTTTGGCTATGGTGAATAGTACTGCTGTGAAGATTCATGCATAAGTATTTGTTTGAGTACTTGTTTTCGGTTCTTTTGAAAATATATCTAGGAATGGAATTGCTGGGTCATATAGTAATTCTACGTTTAACCTTTTGAGGAAATATCAGACTGCTTTCCTAAGTTATTTCCGATAGAGAAAACCCACAGCACTAATGAAATGAACTCATCTTTGCAGGGAGAGCACAGTCCTCTGAACCTCTGAGGAGAATTCTCTGAAGAATCAAAGCGCACTTAGTCATCAGAAGAGAAGATGTTTTAGCTGACTGACCTCTGCTTCTGAATAGACAAAACCAAAATATATTCTCAGCAACAATAATAAGCACAATCTTCATAAAATACCAGAGGAAGATATCGCAAATCAGCCCCAAACTCCAGGTAACTTTTTGCCACTTTGTTTCTTTGAGATGCTTCAGTCAGTGCAGGTCTATTGCCCTTTGGCTATGTTGCTGCTATAATTAACCTGAAGCCCAATTAAGACAAATGCTTTAAAAGAACAGCCAGTTCTGATGAGGCTTATTCTGAGAAAAATCTGAAAAACAGTCTAGAGTTGCCAGAGGTCAAGTTTGTGCACCTTTTCTTCCTGTCAGCATACAGATCCACAGTTTGGATGTTTGACTAATTTTTGCAAATTAACTACCATTTAATTATCACAGAGGAAGGCATCTGCCTGTTTCCCACCAAACTGTTACTCTATTGTAGGCAAATCGGTATGAAGACTAATGTAATTTGCCTATTGTACAGACTGGCCCTTTAAAAGTCCATTCCTGTGTTGTTTTCTGAATGTCCCCATGCTTTCTTTTGTGACATTGATATTGAAGATATAGTAGGCCACTGAATGACATACAGCTCACACCCACCCTGCAGTGCCAATAAAAGGCAGTGTTAGGATGTCTGACCTCATGACGTAGGAAACAGTTTATCAGCCCTACACCCCATGCTTGATCAAGCTGTGCTGGTCCTGGTGTACAATGGAATTACAACCAACCAGAGAGAAGATGGAATGAATTAGAAACAAAGCCCTACACTTACTGGGAGATTTTGTTCAAGTCAGTATAGTTGAGAATGACACGCATTCAGAAAAGGAGCTTACCCATTGTGAATTTTGCCATGTTGTAATTCAGAGTTCCTTCTCAGAATTACAAAGGTATTACAGTCTGAGTAGCATGGTTGCCAGAGAATGAATCTTCAGAGAGCCCTGGGTAGCCTGAGTCACAGGAACTGCTCCTTGGCTGTGAATCCACTGTGTCTATAATAGTTTAGCCCTGATCCCTGACGTTATGCTGCCTGAGTCACATGCTGGTAGAGATTACTTCAAATTTAAGTAGAAAGGTCAAAAGAGGACAGGGAGGCAGGGCAGCTTGAACATATTAGGGAGAACAGACTATGTGGGGTCTCCTTCCCTCAGGCAGAAAACGACTTCTCCTTGGAGAGAACTCACACATTCCTGATAAGAGAAAAATGAGTATGCCTGTGGAAAACAAAATGCCCCTGAAGTAGAATTTTTTAACTCAGACACTTTAGGCTTCAACCATATTCAGGAGGATTTGGGTCACAGAAGAATTTATGTTAAAACTAAAGTTCCGATCTCTCCTTATCTCAGATTATCATCTTGAGATACTAAGCTAGTTGGGCCCCAAAAATCTGATTACCATCTTCCAAAAAAGAAGAAATCATTGTTTGTAGGAGAGCTGATGATCATTTCTTAGTCATTTATCTTTCTTGAGCTGTTAAAAATTCTTGATACATTAAGCTACCCTTGATAGTTTTTGAAATCTTGAGAAATGCATCTGATCCAAGTTAATAACTCTCATCAGTATTTTTAAATGATGCCTGGGTGCACTACTTAAATAAGCTGAGTCCAGGCTCCTCATTATATTAGAGATCATCAGGTGATGTCCTTTCAGCTGACAAACAGGGCTCTTCCTTCTTGCCAGAGCAGAGGGCAAGTTCTTGGTAAACGTGCAAGGCTCATATGACTAATGAGAGTTAGTTTGGCCCCTAATGAGACTCTAAGTCCCATTAAACCAAAATAGGAATCAGAGCATCATATCAACCTGTGGAAGCTCCAAGAACTATTCCTGTCTCCAGTGTAAGGAAAATGAATTTCAGGACCTCAATGAAAACAAGAATCCATAAATGTTGCCATAGCCATCTAATCCTGCATTTTGACTTCAGCAGAAGTACCAGGGGAGTTTTGTGAAAGGGAAGTCCGGTTCCTTCAGTATCAGTCTCAAAAGGTCAGGGATGTATTTCAACTTCTATCAGTAAACTACTATCAATTCCCTAGACATAGAGTTTACCTGACCCTTTAAAAGCTATTTGTGTAACCCATATATTCCCAGCTTCCCAGTATGACTGCAAAGGAAAGTACCTTCCAAAATTATGACAGCATTCTCTCCTACCGGCCCATTAGCTGGAAATTCACCTCTATCAAAGTGCTCTCAACTGTATTTGGAACTTTATTTGTACTACCCTATATACAAAGCTCTAAAATAGAGCTTTCCCACACATTCCTTCTGGCCTTCTCAACTCACTGCTTTGACCTTCAGGGAAGTTCTGCCCTCCTTCCTGCTGATGTCCACTGTTGCCCCCATTTCAGCTTCAGGGAAGATAAACTTTTTTCCTTTGTTCCAAGAGAACATCCTGATAATGGCTCTCACTTTCTGGTGGAGCTAGAATGCAGGTAATGCTGCCTTTCCAGGCGAAGGGCTCATTACCCCAGGGCTCAAATGCCAGTTGTTTCCCTCTCTGAGCTGGTATTGTTTCTGCTGCCATTCCTGACAAAAACAAAAAGCAGCTTGATGTTGTTCCTATCCTGGGGCTCACTCATGACCAGCATGAGTTTGCTCAGTGCCTCTCCATGCATACCGCAAGATCCAAGACCAAATGGATCTCAAATCCAGAGATAGGCAGAAGTCCCTCTTACCACAGTCCATAGTTTCCATTAATTTCCTGCATGGGAATTATCTACTTTACAGGATGACTGATTGTGGAAACATCCATTCTCTTAAAGAAAAACCTACTTCCACCCAACCATTGAGCCCAACAGATGCCCTCTGACCCGCTGTAATACAACCTTAAAGTGGTATATAACATTGGCCTAGTCTTTTTTTACTATCTCAGGTACAGGGATCTCTAGGTCCATTAATATGTCCAGATGGGTCTGGAAATAAATAGCATACTTCATGTAGGTAATTGGGGGAAGTTAATAAAGGTACTATTTAAAAATAATAGGCAAGTATGATAGAAATCAGCAAAGGATAATGCAGTATCTGGGGGTTAGAAAAAGGAGAAGTTATTGCTGTCCATAAGTCTAAAGTGAGAAAAGGGGGATGTGTTTCCCAGGACCTAGAAAGAAAATGGAAAGAGCTTACAAATGCAGTAGACTTCAGCAGATAGGCTAAGCCAACCCTGAACACCCGGGATACAAGGAGCTAGGGAGAAAATACCCCAACCTCTCTCTTCCCTCTTCCAAACTCCTGCCACAGTGCTCTCACCACCATCCTACTCGCCAAACCCAAGAGGGCAGGTCCAAATAGGTCAGCCTCCCAGGGCCAGAGCAGGGAAGACATGGGTAAAAATTAGATCTGAGGAGGTAAAAGTATCTGGCAAAACTACCTATTGTGAAACTGAACAGCTTTAATTTGTTTTCTCTCAGTTTATTTCTTCAAAGTTTCAAGAAATGTTCTAACCTAAGCATAAGAATTCTATCAGTGATTCACCTGATCTTTGCCTCTGGATTTTAAAAGCCTTAATCATATACCCTCTAAGTCACTGTTTCCCCAAATTTAAAACACCTAATCACTGGCACACATGGTGTGGGTGGGGATCATGGGGAAGACAGTGTAGCACAGAGAAGGCAAACAGTGACTCTGTGGCATCTTACTACACTGATGTACAGTGACTGCAATGGGGCATGGAGAGGAACTCGATAATCTGGATGAATGTATAACCAAATTGTTTTTCATATTCACCTTCGTAAGAGTGTGTATCATTAATATCTAATTTAAAAAAAGTAAATAAATAAAACACCCAATCTCTTTTATTTGTTCATACTCAGCAGCAGCCCTTTCTCTTCAAACACTTTATTGTATTTTTCTGCTCCTTCTGAATATTCCTCATGACTTCCTTAAGGTGCAGCAACTAAAACTGCATACTCTATTCTAGAATATGCATCCTAAGATAAGAATAGGAAATATACATATTCAATCATGAGAACTTTAAGAACAAGAAAGTGAGAATAAAATTTAGGGAAATAAAAATTACACCAGTACTGAAAATTAAAACAATTTAGAGGTAGTTAGGAATTGTTAGGAATTAGCACACCATGGACCATAAACTGAAATTCACAGCAGGCCTTGAGGTAGAAGTTTCAGTAAGTTTTAATATATCTTTGATGGCTTGAAGTTGATCCTATTTGGGGGATAGTATTTTGCATAGCATAATTAAATAGCACTCATGAGTAGATACAAAGTGTGCCTGAATCTAGCCCCTAAATAAAATTCCAAGTGTGATAATATCACGAAAGCCTGAAAGGGATGGGTGAGGATGAGGGTGGAGGAGAAAAAAGGCAGCTAAATCTTCCATTCTGTTTGAAAATGACTACCTATTAATTTTTTATGTCAATATAAAAACATGGTCTTAAATATATAAGGGCAACCATTAGCAATATAAAGATAGGAATTAGACTTTTAAAACACTAGGTAGGGGGCAAAAGGAAAAGCAAACACTACTATCTCATCAAAAATCAGAAAAGGAAAAATATGCCACAAGGAAACATAATAAGTTGACAACATAAAATATGATGGACGTACCATGTTCTTCCTTATTATCCATCTGAAATTTATCTTTGACTCCTCTCTCACTCACCATGTCTGTGTGGTTGACTCATTTGATTTTTTTCTTGCAAATATCTCTTGTGTCTGACCACTATCACCCCTCTAGTTCCCTCAGGCCTGTACTGATGCAATAGCTAGCTCTAGCACAACATATCCTACCTTGGCCGCACTGCAGCAATTAAAGCACACTTCATTAAGTATAATATCACACCCCTGCTCAAAAGCCTTATGGGATTCTCCATTCCTTTCCGTCTACCCTTCTTATCTGATTTTCAAGACTTTCTTTAATATGACTCCAGCTAACTGTGTTTCATCAATCTGAATACACATTAAAAAAATTTTTTTAACATCTCTAAAGTCAAAGTGAATCTTGTTATCTATGGCAATCCTGGCATTTTAGATTCAATAAAATATGGTTCTTCTCTTAGTTCTTGGCTTGATACAGGACACCTCTATTCTAGAAAACAGGACTTCTCACTTTGTTGTGCTATGACTCATTCTTTCATACCTCCAGACTTTTGTTCAGACATTTCCTTCTGTCTGGGTACCTTTCTCCCTGCTTTCTTGCATATGTGGGCCCATCTTTAAGGCCCAGCTCAAAGGCCATCTCCAAAGAACACTTTGTTCACTACATAAGCTAGAAACAACCTTATCTTTGAATCTTCTCAGTTCCTTCTTTTTAACTCTAGCAACTCTGATCACATAGTTCCTTTTAGTTTAAATAATTGTGTACATATTTGCTCTGTACACAGAACTCCTAGAGTCCTCCAAATTGCTTGAGAAGGCAGCCAAAATTGTGACATTCTGTTAAAGAATGTAAGTTTATTTCACTAATGCAATCCAGGACATTTTGAACAGTTTAAAAAATCTGTGATGTGTTGCCATGCATAAACTCAGTAAGAGCCCTGTTTTGAATTGCCCTCCAAAGGTAGTACATCGTCAGTGAGTCAGAGAGGACTAAGACTCTGGATAAGCAAGAGATACTGGAAGTACCCTGCTGAGAGGGGTTGCTGCTAGGAGTGGCTGCTGTACGTATCAGTAGGACTCACTGGCGGACTCTGGTCCTGGCAGTAGCCATTGGAAAGGCCAAGTTCTGAAAACCAAGGTTTAAAATTGCCAGTACTCTCCACTAGCCTCACTTGAGTCATTGTGATATCTTGGGAGGGAGGAGCTTGCTGGGAGACTCTTGGTTTCTCAGTTGGTTTTTCAAATTACTCTTGGGAAATCCAGACTGGACCGAAGTCTAAGAATTCTGGGTCACCTCAACAGGCACGTACAAGGAGACTCTGTCAGAGGGAAAAAAAGGATTACATGTGTCATCGTGTTGGCAGAGCCATCTCAATCACAGCTAATTTGGACTTTCCCAAGTTAGGTGCAAACATCTTTGCTAGAATACATTCACAGGGCTTTCTCCCAGCAAACTATCTTCTATGACTAGAAGACGAAAATCTTCTCAAATGCCCTCTTGCCATTGCCATGACATTCTATGGCTAAATTTAAAATAACTTTGGAATTTTCCTTCTCAGTTCTGCTTCCAAAGGCTAATGCCTTTTTCTTTGAGGGCCACCCTATTAACCAGCTTTCCATGGGTAACCTTTCTAGCCTCTCTCTACCAACTAAGGCAGTAGATTCAAGAAGCCTGGATTTGAGGTCCCTGCTGGCTTCAACTTTCTAACAGCTGTTTGGTGCTTTCCTCCCATGCACTGGGTTTATGCACTAATGAGTTTGAAGCTCACTTTTCTCTGAAGCAAAATGATCAGCATGATGTGATCCAGACATGTCTCTGACAGCTTTCTCGTGTGAAGAAGCCCTTGCATAAAGGTCACAATTGTTGAGCTGATTTTGCCAAAAGAAACTGCTTCATCTTAAGAATTTTTTCCTCATTAAAAAAGCCATATGTATTTATTATAGAAAACATAGGTGATAAAGAAAATATAAAGAAGGAAATAAGAATCATTTAAAATCTGACCTGTCATTGTTAACACTATGGCATGTATCCTTATAAGACTTTTTCTTTGTATGTATAGTCATATGATTGTTTAAATGTTTGATATGGGATTGGAATCACACATTTCAGATCAGTAGGGCTTTTTTTTTTTTAGCTTGCTTTGCTCCCTTAATGATAAATGATTAACATTTTCCTTTGTCATTATGTAACAGTTAAAGTGCAGGGTCTAGAACTAGTCTATCTGGATTTGAATCCTAGCTCTGCCACTTATCATGGGATCTTTGGTCCTGTTCTTTCTCATCTGTAAAATAAGGATAATAATGATTCCTACTTCACAGAGTTGTTGTGAATATCTGAGTGAACCAACATTTGCCAAGTACTTAAAACAATGCCTGGCAGGTAGTACAGGCTTTATAGGACTAGCTGCAGATATTATGTCTACTACTACATTTTCTCCTACAACATCATTTTGAAGACTGAATAAGATTGCATTGGTTGGGATGTAGCATACATGTTTTATCAAGGTCTCATTGTTGGAGACTTAATGTTTTACAGTATTACAAATAATAACTGCAGACAGACATGCTTCTTCCATTGTATTTGTAATGGAACAGACTGTGTAAGGAAGGAATACACACGGGGAATTAAAATACTATGTTCCTTCTTGGTTTTAGGCAGAAAGGACGTTGATATTTTACTTTTGCCTGGAAGGTTGCTGCTCAGAAACTAATCAGACTTTATGGCACAACCCTGTCAACTATCTGATGGTTCTTCCTAGACTGAATCACCAGTAATCCTATCCTCAGATTCCAACAGGAGAAGGATCCTTGGCTAGCTTTGTCATATACTTCTAGTCCTTTGCACAACAGCTGTCATAGAATGACTCAGTCCTGTGGGCTCAGCTCCATGGAAGCCTTGGGAGATGTTCAGAGAACTTAGCGAGTCCCTGGAGCCTCCATCTTTTCCAGGCTGGTGCCCATGAAGGTCCTATTACAAATCCTTCCTTTCTCTCTTAGATCTCACTTCCTGTGGCTCTCATCCCCACACTACAGTAGTCCCCACTTAATCCATAGGAGGTATGTTCCAAGACTGCCCCCCAGTGAATGCTTGAAACTGCAGGTAGTACTGGACCCTATATATACTGTTTTTTCCTATATATACAGCCTGTGATAAAGTTTAATTTGTAAATTAAGCACAGCAACAAATGAACAATAATAATAAAATAATTAAATATAACAATATACTGTAATAAAAGTTATATGAATGTGGTCTCTCTCTCTCTCTCAAAATACTTTATTGTACTGTATTTACCCTTCTTGTGATGATGTGAAATGATGAAATGTTTACATGATGAAATGAAGGGATGTGAATCACGTAGGTTTTGTGATGTAATGTCAGACTACTATGAACCTTCTGATTATATGTCAGGAGGATCATCTACTTCTAGACCATGATTAATCTTGGGTAACTAAAAGTGCAAAAAGCAAAACCACAGATGGGGGGGACCACTGTACTGGGGAGAAAGGGAAGGGGCCTTCTTCGGGTCCTGACCACCTGACTTTAGTTATGAGAATGGTTATGATACATTCTGGTAGAATGGGAACAGTATCCTCTGTACAGGTTGAGGGAATTAGAGATTTAGAGGTATTACATGACATGTGGAACAATCTATGTCATGTAATACCTCTAAATCTATAAAGGCATATCTATAACATATGCAACAAAGCTATGCCAGTGCAGATGAACACTCCCAGTGGGCAGCCTTGCTGGGAGGACACTGACTTACAAGACCACTTTTATGAAGCTGTGCATGGGTAATGTGTCAGATGCCGAATTCTTACTCATCTGTGGGTTAAATGTGTCACCAACCAAACAACCTGCTTGGTCCTTAGCCTCTTCTAGCCAAAAATTCATACTCTAACATATCCTGGGAGACACAATTTTTGGATTTCTGCCTTTATTATCTCCTAGATTCCCTGGAAGGTATTATCTTCTAGGTTCCCTAGAATGTTCTGCCCACCTGCTACCTCCATGGGTTTCTGGATAAGTACACTGTGTACAGAATTCACTTAATACATAGAGGTAGGAAAGCTCTCCCCCAGCCTTAATCATGGGCATTTACCCTGGAGTCAGGGGTCTGTATTTCTGCAGTCCAACTAGATTAAATAGAAACACTGGTGTTCAGATAAAAAATAAACGGTCTTTTAGTATAAGGATGTACAATATTTGGGAC